GCTATATAATATTTGAAGGTAGGCGAATGATGATTCACCAATTTCCACCATGAAAACGAAATAATTTAATTAGGTTTTACTTGGATTTGAAACTCCTAGATCTTTTGAGATTCATTGAACTTTTCAATGGCATGTTTCAATCTCGATTGTGCCCTCTCAAGTTTTGTGACTGAGATGCCGAGGATCACAAAACAAGGTGTGAATAACCATGCAAATATATTTGTTACCCTTAATATTTATCACTTAATCGATGTGTCGGTTAACCACACACGCTCCACCAATCCTATGATAAACATTAAGTTACCCTTTGCCTACCTTGTTAAATCCTGGTTAGTGTGCGCGTTAACCACACATGCTCCACTAATCGACTTAAGCAAAGTGCAAAGTGTAATTTCATCGGTTAGCACCAAATTCACATTTTCCTAAGTAACTAAGATTGTGAATTTATAAAAGGTTTAGTTACTTAGTATTTATCATTAATACTTTTAATGAAGGGAGAATTATAGTCCTTGTCCTACCCGTTCGGCTAACGACCCTCCACCAGTCAAGGAAGCGGTGGGTGAGAGTGGACACCCATTAAGCTGCCATTTTATAGGCAACAACCTTATACCCCCCTTATAGACCGACTTCGTGAATGAGGCCTACTAATGGTAAGATGACTTGCTCTTATACATACATACATATATATATATATATATATATATATATATATATATATATATATATATATATTATTAACTTATAATATTATAAAGTATAAGGGTTGAATTTTAAATTTTAAAAATTCTAAGGGCTTAACTTGGAATTAAAGTATTCATAAGGGAAAACTTTTCAAATTCCAAAACTTGAGGGCAAGTTTTGAAAATATTCAAAACTATTCAATTCCATAATTTATGTGTTTAAAGTAGTTTTAATACAAAAAACTCTTCAAGTTCCATAACTTGAGGACAAGTTATGGAAGACTTTAAACTATTAAAAGAATGTAACTTTTCCTTTATTCATAACTTATGAAATATTTATGAGTTTTATGGTTCTTAAATGTGACTTTTCATGTAACTTGAGGACAAGTTACAAAAACACATTTTAGAATCAACTCTTAGATTAAAATGGATTGAAAACAACAATTTCACAAAACTTTTCTATTAATCTAAGCAACTCATAAAAACAAGATAATTTAATCAAACTTTTTCATGTAATTAGCCTAATCATTAAACTAATACAAAAAATGAATCTATTGACAATTATCTTTGAAATTGGATTAGCATGAACATTACCACATCAAAAACAGGTTTATATGTTCAAAAACAACTTATGGTAATGTTCCTAGTCCATTTCCAGCCAAAAAACTCGAAGATATGCTGTCAGGGGGTCCAACTCGTCGAGTGCATGAACCAACTCGGTGAGTTGGATGAGTTTTGCCTTGGACTCGTCGAGTCCCTTCATGGACTCGACGAGTCTGTTGTGCAGACAACACCAAACTTCGATTTTTCAGCCATTTTTGCAAGTATAACAAGAAAACAAGCCTAGGCTCTGATACCATTGTTGGGTTTTGGGCATTCTAACACTCCTAAGTGTACATGCAACCCTAAATACCTTGGATCTATGTTTTCTCTATTATACATGCAAATATGAATATTCCAAGGTATTACCCTATCTAGCATACAATCTTTGATACTTGGGTAATAAAACAAGTTTGAAGACATATATTTTTATGTAGCTTGATTCCTTGATGCTTAAGAGCCGAGTGCCCCAAGTGTGACACCTCAAATGGTTCACACAACATCAAATACACTTGGAATAACTTAGAGAGAAATGAACCACTTCATGAAATCGGCTAGCCCTCACCATACACACATAGTTCTCTCATGGTCGCCGATTTTGACAAGAATAAGATGCTTATATAGTTTGTCACAATTAGGGTTACACCATGTAAACCCTAATTGTCATGGCCTTTCATTTCCATGATCCATGGGTACAAAAACACCATGGAGCATCCTATGGGTTTTAGCCCAACTTGATAATCCATGGAGCATTAGCCCACTATACAAGTATGGATGATTTACACAATCAACCCATATATTTAATTAGTCTCCTTTTGATCACTTAATTAATTCCAAATTAATTCTTGATCAATACTAATTAAATAATCTTATTAATATATTAGAACTTATAATATATTAGTAAACCTTAAGTGTTATTTCTCTCATTTTAGTCTATCCAAATGCATGATGCCATGCAACCCAAATGGACCATGCCAATCGGGTCAAGTACATACCAAATATAGTTATGGACTGAGACACTAATCCAACACTAAGGGTGGCAACCCTAAGCCTAGAAACAGATTTGAACCATAAAAATCCATTCTTGGGACCTAAAGAGGTCCAAAACACCATTAACATAGATCTAAGCATTCATGAGGCAAATTGAGAGCTTTTTATCTCAAATGAGTGCTAAATGGTGATGTTATCTCAGATCCTTGAGCCCAAGCTACTCAAGTTCTTCTTCTTTAACTTCTTCTTTCTCCTTCCAAGCTTCAAATCACAACAATAAGCTTCACAAGGTTAAAATCACACAAAGATGAAGAGTGGTAGGCGTTCGAGGGTTTCTGAGGTTGAGAGGCTGGTAAGGAGGCTAGGGTTTGGGAGATAATGTTTTATTTATATGGCTTAAACCCTAAAAATTAGGGTTTTGATTCTGCTCGTGTACGCTGCACGTACTCCTTGGTATGATGCGCGTACGCACATGAACCCCCCCCCCCCCCCCCCCCCCCCCCCCCCCCCCCGCAAATGGACCCAAACTTGAAATATGACAACTAACTTCCATGGAAAGGGCTAGAACTCATGCATGGCCATAAAAGGACCTTCAAGATTGAAACTTTTATGTTATTGGGACTTATATAGCACTAAGGGTGGCAACCCTAAGCCTAGAAACAGATTTGAACCATAAAAATCCATTTTGGGACCTAAAGAGGTCCAAAACACCATTAACATAGATCTAAGCATTCATGAGGCAAGTTGAGAGCTTTTTACCTCAAATGAGTGCTAAATGGTGATGTTATCTCAGATCCTTGAGCCCAAGCTACTCAAGTTCTTCTTCTTCAACTTCTTCTTTCTCCTTCCAAGCTTCAAATCACAACAATAAGCTTCACAAGGTTAAAATCACACAAAGATGAAGAGTGGTAGGCGTTCAAGGGTTTTTGAGGTTTGAGAGGCTGGTAAGGAGGCTAGGGTTTGGGAGATAATGTTGTATTTATATGACTTAAACCCTAAAAATTAGGGTTTTGAGTCTGATCGCGTACGCTGCACATACTCCTTGGTAAATTATGCGTACACGCATGACCCCCCCTTCCCCCCCCCTTCCGCATCCAATGTTGCACTACGCCCCGCGTACGCCAAGCTCACGCCCATCGTACGTCTTCGGGTAGCCCAATAACAAACGGCCCACTCACTAAGGCCCAACTCAACAATCCACTATTAAACTCATAGTTCAACAATTAATTATAAAGAAATTGAATAATTATCATTACCTCAAGTCACAGGTGTTGCAATTTTCTTATAATATACTTTCGACTGTTTGATGTGATTATTATACGATTAGAATGAATTTAAAAATGAAAATTTTATCTGAATTTTTGGGATGTTACAAGTTTTATATGCATGGGTTCGCAGAGTGCTATTTCCAAAATTTACTCATAAACGTGCCACACTTTTTGCAATGAGCTGTATTCTCACGCTCAACATTTCATACAAATCATAATGTTCTAAACATCTTTCGGCCGATCGGTTTATAAGATTTTCACCACATCATCGTTTGAGTCTCGAATGGAACAATGTGTTGACTTTCTTGAATTATATGCAATTTTTTGATGAGTAGAGATATGTCTTTACGCTTTTTTGTGTGGAATACTAACATCTAACGTCAATTGTTATCGGTTTAGAGGGGCAAAAAAGCCCATAAAAGTCAATATAGGCATTTTTTTATTGTTTTCCAAAGGTTAGAAAAAAAAATAACTAAATGTTTCCGTTTATAACCGGTATAAAAACTAGTTTGAAACTGAATTCATATACATATTATCCAAAAAACTATTTATAATCTAGGGATAAATCTGTCTTAGGTATAGAATTCTGATCCAATTATAATGCGATGGATCATATTATCCAATCCGGTTTAGTAAAAATCTAGTTTTGATTGGATTAAGATTTTGGATCCGATTGGTTTGGAATCGAATATCCGGTTTTGGTGTGCACCTTTAGACATAATAGTAGAACATCCACATCCCAGGAGGTGATGCCCTTGTATGTTTAAAAGGGAGAACCATCACATTAGATGTTATAAACATCTTATGTGTTAGAGATTTGGGGTATGAGAGCACTTGGAATTCTAAGAATCGTGATGACAGATTCAAATTGAAGTATTCCGGTGGTACTTTCGAAAGTAACAATTTGAAAAGACTCAGAATATGAGATGCAAGAACAGAGAATGAGATGATATGATTTTCGTATGTACCAAAAAAATAATGACACAAAATGGTTATATACCTCATTTGTCTGAAAACTATCACAAAACAGTTTTCTATGTCCTAAAACTATTCAAATCGTCACAAGATAGTTTCCAACAATCATAAACTGTCACAAAACCGGGTTTTTAATAAGAGTTTAGATAAAGTTAAAAAAACGGGTCAATTTTCAAGAATTTGGATTTTTTATGCATTTTTAAGACAGAGATAAAATTTTTGAGCTGACCTAGCAGCTCGACCTCAGCCAGGAGCTCTACCCCTTGGACCCCACTTCTAGGGGCACTGCCTCGGACCCCTGTTCGTTCAGGGGCTTCTCCCCTAAATGACAATGTACTTTGATGAAACAAATCACCAACATTATGTACCATTCTTTAGAACTTAGAGGTGGATATTCCTTGATGTCAACATTAAAAGTATCAATAGAAAACCTACATGTGTCATATGATCGGATAGAGTAGGAACAAGTGTTTGATTGCTTGTTCGTTCATAAGGCTGCACGGAGTGGGGATGATGGAGCCTCGTCAAAGATGAGGTGGAAGAGAGAGGTGGTTGAGGTGGAAGGGGAGGTGGCTGAGGTGGAGGAGTTTCCTCTCTCTTCGGTGGCAGCTCTCTGAGTCTCTCTATTCGGCAGAGGGAGAAAATGAGGTGGAGGTGAGGTGGCCTCGGCACCCCTTGGTACGACTACCCATAGCCTAAAGAAAAGTTGGTTATAGGTAGGTGGAACACGATTTCGTTACTAGGGTTGAAGAGAAAAATCTTTTACTTCGAGAGAAACGCTTACCCATTAAAATTTAATAAATAAATGTCCATGTAGACTACTTATTAATTTTTAATTTTTAAAAAATAATAAGAGCTAGATGGACCCAATGAGGTGAAACTTGGTTCAAATGGAGTGGTTCCCCTTTTAGTAGGTAAAATAAAATTTTACAAATCTAATAAGTACAAAAAATGAGTACAACAAATAGCTAGTTTGCTTACAATGACATTAATCCGTTTTGAAACTCATGGGAGAGTACCCACAAAAGTTAGCAAACTATAAGGACAATTACTACAATTTTCTCAAATTTAGTAAGATGAACAAAAAATTATAACATTTTCAATTGAAGGGACATAACTGTAATAAAAAAAAAGTAACACTTAAGTTGTGTTTGATGTGTTAGTTGAAAATCTAACTTTTAACTTATAACTAACTTATAAATAAGCTATTTCAAATAACTTAAAACTAGTTTATAAACTATAATTAACTAATTTTGTGGTATCATCGAACAGTAATTCCAATTAGAAAATAAGTTATATGCACATACACCTCACACAAAGCCTAATTATATGCGAAATAACTAGTAAAAATTCCGAATTTTGTAATTTTTTATTCACGAATGCCAAAAACCAATTAAGATGTGGAATTGGGCGGAGATATTTAACACTGCATTTGGATAAAAAAATAAATCTTGATGTAGGATTGAAAACCCATTATTAAAAAGATATTATTACATACTTGATTGTATATTACTTGTATGTAAATCCGATCATACATGAATACATATGAATATTTCATCTCATCATACCTCAAACCATAATGTCATTTTTTTATGATATTTACACATGTTTTTCAAGTTTTTTTTGATTATTTTACTTTTGCATGATATCCTTTTCTAATTGAGATGATTAATATACATCTACTTTATGATATTTACACATGTTTTTCAAGTTTTTTTGATTATTCCACTTTTGCATGATATCCTCTTTTGAAATTCTACTTTTTGATTAATATACATCAACTTTTTGAAATTCTTGGTCTATAGAAATAAATCTTGATGTTGGATTGCAAATTCTCTAATACCATAGAAATAATATCACCTATCTTTATTTCATATATACAATAGTCTTAGATTTATTTATGATAATTTTCGGTATCATCTATTCGATACATACCTTAGAAACCCATTATTAAAAAACTGTTACATACCTGATTGTATATTACTTATATGTAAATCCGATCATACATGAATACGTATGAATATTACCTCTACTTTTGAAATTCTTGGTCGATATAGGAAATTAATTATAATAGAAAAAAAGACTTTTACATAATGAAAAAAGAACTAAAAATAAAAATTAGAAATGGTACACAAATTACATTAAGAAATTAAAAAGCAAATGGAAGTTAGTAGCATTGGTTTCATTCATACTGTTGGAGCAGGAGCAGCATGAGAGGGCAGAGGGCAGATTAGTACTATCACCAAGTACTACTACTATACTACACAGCAAAAATCTATCATACCGAATCACAACAGTTGCCCAATTACCTAAATGGGTCCCCTCTATTTTCCTTTCTACCCCTAATAATCATTTCCCCTTTTCCCTTTTTCTTTTCATTTGCATTTTTTCAGTAGATATTTCGATTCATGGCTATCTTGTGGGGTTGTGAAATTCGTCTATATATATTTTTTTCGGGATTTTTATGTACTAAATATTTTTTGAGGGGATTTTAGTGTTAGGATTATATGAAAACATGGGATTTGGTCTTCCAAATAGTTGGGCGGAATCCAATGGAAAATAATTGGTGTTTGTTGACAAAATTGAGAAATCCAATACATGTCACATTCCTCAGATCTTATCCTTGGTGTTGGTGGTACCTCATCTGGCTGAAATTGATGTTCTGTTACAAACACACAGTACTACCCACGATTAATTTAATAATGTAACAATACTAATAATATCTCTTAGCTTTAAATAATATCATGAAAAGAGAAAACACAACTTATTTATCTGTGTTAATGCTTGTATAAATATAACATACAAGAATGATATACTATGCTAAAGGTTTTTCTTGAACAATGCTAGAAGATAACTTTGGTTAAGTTCAAGACTTACAAATGAACATTATTTATTTATTTTTTTCTTTGAGAAAATAAATAAACACACATGTATATAAATTCACAAATGGAGACACGATTAATGAAGAGAAAATATGGGACACAATTAATGAAGAGAAGATATAAGTAAGATGGCTTTTGGTATTGCTTATTTAAAAAAAACTTTAAGATTTTTTTTGTATTAAAACATATTTTATGAAAAAAAAATATTTAAGTTAACTAATTCAGTATAAAAACATAATAAGCTTATATGTTATTTTTTTATGAATAAGATTTTTTGGTTAAACATGTGAAATGACCGAACAACATTTATATAATTACCGTAATTACCTTATATTTTACAAAATATATCAAAAATACGTAATTTGAAGATTGTATACATATATATTATTTTTCTTTAATTAATATACAAACAAACACATCTCATACTTTATAAGGACAGATCTAATAATTTAGGAAGAATCTTAAATTCTATGTAAGACTTAAAAGCTTGTTAGAATGCAACTAAAAAAAGTTATATTTTGGTCCAGTTCTATTTACATTTGATGTGTAACTAAAGTCAAAATATCGGACCACACTCTCTCACTTCCATTTCAAATCTTTGTCATGCGGCTAGAAATTTCTTTTTCTTCTTCTTTTTCTTTATTATTATTATTATTATTTGCCTTCGCACCATTTTAATTTTTTTGCCATGTGATGTGAGTAATAAATGCATTGATATTAGTCTCCTCTACTAATATGTTGATTTTAATTTTCTAGAAAAATAACGACCATATATTATGTAAAGAATCTTATTTAATTAAACAAAAACCACGATATATATATATATATATATATATATATATATATATATATATATATATATATATATATATATATATATATATATGCAATAAATTTTACTTTTAGTTAAGCAGACTAGTGACGGCTTAAAACATCTACAATTCCATTTACAACAAAAGACGCTTCAAATATGTTGGTCCATTTATGTTTGTTATGTAGCATTAAAGTTCAAATTTGACAACTCAGAAATGGAATTAAACTTCATACGGACTTTACTTAATTAAAAATTATTAAAAAATGATTTTTCATAGCACCAGTTGCATATATTAATAGATGTAAAGCTAAAGAGGCAGTTTATTGCAATGGCAATATGCATGCACATTACCATATTTCCAATTAATAAATATTAATATTTATGACACTTAAGAGTTTGACCAGTCTAAATATATTAATTAAATGTATAGAAAATATATGCTTCTTTAGAAGAGGCAGCAAAATCATTACCAAATATTTCCACTTAATTATATACAGTAATGAAACACTTTCTCCTAGAAAAACATCCATGGAGTATCACTTTCCAAATAAATACATTTTAAGATTAAATTCAATCATTTAATTAAATATTACTTTATACTAAAAGATTTAATTCAAACCCAACAGTTTAAAATAACATTTTTAGTTGATCCATACTCTTTATAAAACACAAAACCCAAAGCTTGATTATACCAAATGTTGTGTAGTTATAAAATGAAAATAAAAATTTCATTTGAAAAACATAGAAATATGTTGACTCTTATATATATATATATATATATATATATATATATATATATATATATATATATATATATATATATAAGTGGAAATATATAGTACTTCACTATTAATCTATCTGACTAAATGTAAAATGACAACTTGCTCAATTAAAAGGTCACCAATTTTCAAAGCACAAGGTTTGGATTAGAATCCCATCTTTAAGTTTACCCATTCAAAGCACAAGGTTTGGATCATCATTTTTTCATTTTCTTCCACATTATTTTCTTTAATATTTCTTGAAAACATAATATGATAATAAATTCCAATACTGGTTTATTGGTGATCATTTAATATAAAACCTTTCAAAATAGACTTAATCAAGTTCGATTTTCACAACATCAACCTTAAAATGATATATGGCACAAAAAAAATCCTTTAATTAATTTATTAATCAACGAATTGGGGTTATTATATACTGTTACACTAATAACCCATAAAATAAATAATACAAATATGCATACAAATATGTAAAAAAGCAACGTACCATATTGTGATTGAGATCGTTGGAATTGGCGTAATATTGGTAGTGGGGTTGACCACCATGGCTCGATCCATCTGGAGTGGATGGCTCAGATTCATCTGGGCATTCAAGGTTCACACCAAACAGTCTTACCCTCCTTGGGTTCCCACTACTCACCATATCTCTTTGGTTATTTTCTACATTATAATTTATACCTCCTGCATTTCCGTTATTATTATATCAATATTTATTTATATACTAGAAAACATATATTTTATCATCTTGTAATTCAAGTTTTACTCTTATACATGAAACTAAGATTTCACTCTTATACAAAAAGAAACTACTGAAAAACATTTAAAGATAGAATTTCAAAGATGAACACGAGATTTGAATTTGTCAACATGAATAATGTAAATTTCTAGTCTCTTTAAGAATAAAAAACGTTATTTTTGGGCTAAAAAAGATAACATTAAATATGTTGGAACTTATGTAATCAAATGAGGAATTTTCTTAAAAAGAGGGAGTAATTATGTGATGAACTCCAAAAAATTTGGTGGGGAAGTGTGACGATTTGTAATTAATATCCAAATGCACACGTATACATACAACATAATTGGGAAAAATGAGAAATTTTTAATTATTTTTTTAGAAAAAAACAATTATAAATTACCTGCATGAAGACAGTCAGGTTGGTATGGATGAGGAAGAGATGGAGTTAGGTGGTGGGAAGGATAATTATACTGCCCATCATAGAGAACTCCGGTGGTCCACCCATTAATCTGAGGACCACCACCGCCGGCTGCAGGCGGAGCCACCGCTATACTATCTTGCACCGGCCTTCTTCTCCACCCGATAAACAGCCTGTCACAGTCGAATCTATGGCGCTCAAATAAAACAACATCACCCGCATCCAAACGTTTTTCTTTCACGAAACGACTCCACCCTTTTGTCAACACGTAGCTTTGACTACTGTTCCAATAGGAGTAGCGGAAACGCCACGGCTTTCCGGTCTCATCCTCGAAACTCAGCAACAAGCCTTTCTGCTGGTCTACTGCGGCGGCGGAGGCGGAGGTAGAGTCAGTGCCGCCGAGTGGGAAGTATTTCTCGGCGTATTGTTTGGGAATGACGAGGCGGTTGAGTTTTCCGACGTCGCTGGGAGTTAATGGCTTCTCGAACATGGGTTCTTTAGAAAGGTGGTCGGTGGAATCTTGTTCGTCGGATTCTTGTTGGTGGTAGTATTGGTTGTTAATGTCGAAATTGAAGGTGGAGGCCGGTGGTTGATGGTGGTGGTCGGTGGAAGAGACGGGGGGTTTGGGGGAGGAGTCCATAATAGGGTATGGGTGTTGTTGCTGTGTCCACCAGAGTGTCTCTGGTAGGTTAAAAGGGAAGTGAGTTAAGGACATGTGTGGGGGCAGTGAGAGAGAAAGAATAGAGGCGTGAGGAATATGGTTTTTGATGTGGAAACTATTTGAGATATGTATATGTAGCTGTGAGACTTGGGTTGGGATGGGGGCAGTTTTATATTTATTCTTTTACTTTTATGGGGTGGGGTGGGGGTGTATGGACAGGGTAGCCATAAGAGAAAACTTAAAGCCAAAACTCATAGGATTTTTATTTATTATTATTTTTTGGAAAAATATCATAAACCATTTAAATTAAAATTTTGCATTGCTTTTAAAATAGTTGTTTAGTGATTATACTCATAATTCGACATTTTTTTTAGATATAGCAAATATTCGGTTTTGCCATCACTTTTAGGACTTTGGTGGCTATCAACACCTCAAAATATAATAAGGAGAAAAAAAGGAGGACAACACCTTAAAATATAAGGAGAAAAAAAAAAGAGAGGACATGGTGTCGAACTCAATAGCTTTCACATTGTTACATATAACTAATGTTTTAAAACTTGGGTCGAACCGGTTGGACTGAGAATCGGTGACGAGAGCGTTTTAACAACGATTAATTTTATGTTAAATTCTAAACTGGACCGAACCAAACGTTTTCTTTAAAACCGAGATGAACCGGTACGATAGATCTAATAAAAAACAGTTTGAACTGCAGGCCGGTAGGGGCAATTCAGTCTTACTGTAGACTCTATATGCATGATGTTTGCTTATATGTTATATGATATGGTTATATCTGTATGACGTTGGTATTTTGGGGGTAACTCACTAAGCCTTCGAGATTACATTTATCGATTATTATTTCAGGTACTTCTGATGATCGCGGGAAGGTGAAGACATGATCGTGCACCTCCTTATGTTTTTACTATTGATCTGGGAAACTCTGATATTAAACCATTTTGAAAACATGTTTGTAATAATTATCGGTTTTTGAATATCTTAAAAAGTTTTAAATTGACATGATTTTTATGGGTGTTACAAGTTGGTATCAGAGCCCTGGTTTGAGTGAATTGGATAAACACTTGTGTGAATCTAGTCTCAAACTAGGATCTGAGAGTTTTTGCAAAAATGTTTTTGAAAAAGAAATTATAATAAAAGAGTTGGGTTAAGGGCATTGGCTCGATCACTTGTCATGTTCTTGTTTGATTGTTGGCTTGGGATCGGGAACGTGGACCTTGACTTAACTTTGACTTTTAAGGAGGATGCAAGTGTACGATCAGCCGGAGCTGGCGGATAGACCCCAAAATACCTTACGGATTATTTGATTTATGTGATATGTTAGAACAACATGCTAGTACTAGGCTAGGGATCTTAAGAAATTGCATGATAGAATTGTCTGATTATATGATGTCTGATACCCTAGGGTTTTTCCTTATATGAAATTGACATCATTACTGTAGCTGCTTAGTGTATGCATCATGGCTGTACATAATTAAGATCTTATAGTCTGAGAATGTTTGGTTTGGCCTTATTTCCTTTTCTTGTTTGATGAAGGGCTTAGGGTAGGATCAGGTATTCGAAAGTGTATAGGGTCCAGTGTTATGTATGGCTAGCATGCACGAGTGCTGCAGGGTTGGTGGAAGTTTCATGGGTGGGTTGTGAGAGGTCGGGAGGCCAGTTTTGAGGTATTTAACATTCCTCTAGGAGTGAGGATTGAGCGCTCGCTATGGTTATATATATTGTTAGGGTGTTGTGGTGATACTTGAGACAAATATGGGTAGGTGTGGAAGGTAGTATGGGCCCGTACTACTGAAAGCACAAGACCCATACACGTAGCAAAGAAGTCACAACCCCTGGGGTTTAGTTAGGAGTTGGTTCACTATTATTATATGGATTATCCGAGGTCTCTCTGGTGTATTATCAGAATGGTGATTACGAGACGTCTTGAGACCGGATCCGGGCAAGGATCGGGAGCTGGCAGCCAGGATAGGCCAGTATTGTCAGAGGATCGTGCCAGGGAGATCACCCGGGCGGAAGCGGTCGAGATTTTCTGGGGTCAGATTTCGGAGATGTTTGGGTCTATTAAGACCATCATGGTTGAGTATTTCGATGAGCGCTATGCAGCCTTGCTGAGACGGCTGCCGCAACAACTACATCAATTGTAACGACGGCAGGGGGAGGAGCTGGTCGAGCTTTCCAGTACCGGGACTTGTTACTGGGACATATTCTGATGAGCAGAGGGTTGCAATTCCTTGGGACCAGGGAGATGTTCTTTACTCGTTACAGTCTGCGGGTTGAGCGGGAGAGGCTAGCAGGAGTTTCTGGATTTGAGGCTTTGGGGGTTTTGTTTGAGGCCGGAATGCGAGCCGCGGGGACTGCGGAAGGGCGTGATGATTTGTTTAGTTGGGGTTTTGCAGCTGGAAGTAGAATGGTTAATTGATGGATTGGATAGTCGTTTTCTAGGGCAATGATTGTGCCCTTTCAATTTTTGAGCTCGAAGGAGTGAGCAGACTCGTGACCCCAGGATCAGGTTGTATTCTAGCTCGGGGTCAGTTAGTCGCAAGGTTCGGCGACATTATTTCAGCTTTGGTGAGCGCAGGTGGGTCGATGTGGCATGAGTATTTTGTGAGGCGCACGCGATTACTGTCCCTACCCATAGGAGCTAAGATCTGATTCACCTTAGATCTATTGTATCGGGTGGCAAGGATTAATTATGCGATCTATTGCACTTTTGGGATTGGCTAGTAATGGAGTACTAGTTGGAAAGAGTTGGTTGTCACCAGATCGATCGTTGGAAAGTGAGAAGGATTAGGAATTCTAAAATTTTCATGTATTGTGAAGACTTAGTCGAATCTAAGTGGGGGAGAATCGTCCGGAACACAGAAGCAGGAGCGGTTTTGAAACTGGGATAAGTTTCGTGTCGTTATCAAGAAGGAAGACAACCCAAGTGGCTGTTTGGTTTGAGGGTTGTGTGAGTTGGGAGTTCGGTAAAACTCCCCAACATGTGAATCGTGTCTTCTCGGTGCTTGATAGCAGAATTTGGGGAATCAGGTTGGGGTTCTAGTCATGAATTGAGTTCAGTTCGGGTGTTCGGTCGAGTGTGTGCTTGACTCTGAGGGTATTTTGATTGATAAATGGAGGGTAAGGTATGGGGCTGCGGTTGTGTTATGGCGAAAGTGTTGTAAGACTGCGGCGGTAGCCGTAGCATTCACCAACGGTTAGATAGTGTGGGAAGTGTTGTGAGACTGTGGGATGACTCACAGCATTCACGGATTCTTTCAGATGATTAGGCCAGGGTGGACCAGTTCGTAAGATGGTGGGTAGACCACGACATGATTGGAATCAGGAAACGATAGGTCGTTGGGAACCGGGCATGATGTAAGATTACAGTATTCTAGAAGCGTTCACTTTTCGTATCTGATTCAATGTCGACAGGTTGTCAGGCTGTTATGATCAGATGGATCAGAAGGATTGATGGAGCCACGAGTGGCGATATAGCTAGGGCAGTTATTACTATTTGAAGTTCCTTTGGGAGTCGCGTGGGGCGACTGTGAGATTACTCTGGCTCAGCAAGCAGACAAGATTTCGGTATTCCAGATAAGTTGGGACCAAGGAGGTCTCAGTGGACTTCGGAAGCAACTGGAAGGCAGCTTACTGTTTCAGACCGTTTATGTGTTTAGGGTGGTACTGCTAATTAGGTTTTCAGGGGTATGAGAAGTATCTAGATGTTGGAACCCCCCAGTTATCATAAGTTGGATAGTTGGTTGAGAGATAAGTGGACTGGGTTCAACAATAATTATTTGGTATGAGTGGTCTGTCAAGGAGCCAGACCATCTCGAGACTTTAGATTTCAGATTGAGTAAGGTGATCCTAATGCGGGGAATTTGCCCATTTTCGGATTTCAGAACCTTGCGAGGGTTGCTTACAGTTGCCTTGGAAAGGCTGGGGTATGCTTGTAGTCGTGGCCATGTAGTTCAAGTTGCCTGGCGTGTAAGGAATGATAAGAAACGATTTCGAGGACGAAATCTAATTTTAGTAGGGGATAGTTGTAACATTCTGTTTGTTAAATAAATAAATAGATAAAATTGGTGGATGAATTGTAGCCTAAAATCCATAATATTTATCGGGGTGTTGGTTTCGAGGAGTCAAATGGCATAATTTAGAAGTTGGGGGTTAAAAGTGTAAGTTCCGGATTGGTTTTGTAAGTATTTATGAAGGCAAGGACTAAATGGTAACTTTTGGGACTTCATTTGAAGAGATTTTAGAGTCTAAGGGGCTGTTTGGTAAATTAGGGATCGAATTTGAGAAGAATTATGGAAGTAAGGGTGTAATTGGTAAATATTGTACCCGAATTGTAATGGATTTTAATGCTGAGGGCTGAAAAGGTAAATTTTGGGCTTAGGTTGAAAAAGATCTGGAAATGAGGGACTAATAGTGTCATTATGGGGCGATTTTTATGTGAGACGGGTATATAACCCGTCTATCCCTCCGGAACCCTAACCCTATTCGAATGTTGTAGCCGCCACCCCACTTCTAAACACCAGCTGCCACCTCCTTCTCTCCCTCCAGCCGCTACTCTCTTCTAAGTGAAGGGTACACCCTTCTGAGTTAAGGCGGTGCGCGGCTTGGCGATCTTAGAGAAATTCTTTATGAACCTCCTGTAGTAACCAACGAGGCCTAAGAATTGTCTGATCTCCGTTGGGGTTCTTGGGGTTGCCCATCCTTCAATTGCTTTGACCTTGGAGGGGTCCACATGTATTCCCTCCTCACTGACCAGATAACCCAAAAAATCCACCCTGCGGATCCAGAACTCACATTTGGAGAATTTCACATACAACTTCTCCGCCCTTAGTGTTTCCAGAACCTACCGCAGATGTTGACTGTGTTCTTCCTTACTTTGTGAATAGACTAATATATCTTCAATAAATACTATCACAAAGCTGTCAAGATAGGGTCGACAGACTCGGTACATTAGGTCCATAAATGTTGCAGGTGCATTTGTTAGGCCGAAGGGCATCACTACGAATTCATAGTGACCATAACGGGTTCGGAAGGCGGTCTTGGGGATATCTTCTTCTCGGACCCGTAGTTGGTGGTACCCGGATC